TTAAGCAGAAATTCCAGATCAGAATTCGACGAATCAAGATTTCTAGAGCTGACTGCCGGGTCTGCATGAAGCACACACAAAGACACACCCAAATGCACACAGACCATACGTTTTGAACTCTGGCATTAGCAGTGTTCTCAAGCTGTAATTTGCCCGAAACATGAGGTAGAAGCCAAAGGTAGAGACATTTTCGAAATTCCAGATATCCCGCGGGGCATAAATTTTACGCTTTCTGCCTGTAGCCCTATTAAAAATAAGCAAAATTTAGATTAAAAATACAATATTAAGTTTGCCGCCTTGTAAACGATCAGAGATTGAAATTATTAATTTTCAGCCTCCAAAACTCGGTATCTAAGTATCAGAACAGATACATACTTGCCAACTTGTTTTCACCATGGTGCTTCTTCATTTGTACTTACAAAAAGGCTTGAAAATTAAGCAAAAGAAGTTAGTTTGGATAACCAAACCAAATGATAATAAAATATGATCAAAAATATACGTGAAGCAGAAATGGCTGGCCAATTTTCGTGGAAGTACACGTTTGCCACGAATCTATTATTTTGCGGCGTTGCATCCGGAACAATCGGGAATCTGAAATAGTAGAATGGAAGGATTGTTCTTGAGTGTCATTTGCCGAAGGACATTTTACTGTCTCGTAAGTCCGTGTTTCATCCCTTAGCTGTATACACAGACCGAATTATGCATGCGGGTAGGAGCAGGAATCGTCCGTACAGCCTCCCGGGGGTATGGACTCCTCCTGAAACTCATTTCATTTTCCCACCATTCAATCCTTTATCCTTCAAATAGCGCGATCCGCTAAAAGTATTTTCTAAAAATCTGATAACGGTGGACTGATTAATGCGGCCAATGAACTCTCTCAAGAGAGTCCGTATCCCTGGTTGAACGTTTCACACGCATACCGGCTATTCTTGTATTAGAAAAAAAAAAAGTCTGCTCCGGTCGCCACTACAAGAAAGTGAAATTAGAGGCCATTTCTAGGAGTACAGCTAAAACCAGAGCTGGTGTCTGGGAAGGCAAATTACACAGTTAGCGGATGCAATATCAAAATCCTTAAGCGCTCAATCACTCACCGGTAACGTTAAAAAAAATAAAAAAAACATCTGATTTTCTGTTTTACTATTTCGGCAGCCCTTTTATCCTGTATGACATCAAAAAAAAAGCTGGCAATCAGGAAGTAAAACGAATGTTAACATTACTAGCAGACTGACCATTAGGTGATGGCTATACTAATCAAAGCAGTTAGAAAAGTTGTGGACTGCGTACGTA